CGTCGCCTCTCAGAGCCTGGCTCTCTTCCGCTGTGACTGGGAGCATTACTAGGCCCTCCTGCAAAAGGCCACTGTGAGCCTTCCATAGAACAGGCGGTGCTCATAACTCTGTGCCTGGTGAGTAGCGTACACTCAGGAAGGCTTCTGACTAGTCACTGGCTGGAGGACTTGTACATCCGGATATCATCAGAGAAGGGGACCAGGAGTTAGAGCCCACACCAGCGTCCTCCAGCCCCGGGGTGGTGCTGTGAATTGGAAATGTCCGTCGTCCCAGGCATGGGGCTGGGGGTGGAGTGGGCGCTGAGCAAGGTGCTCACCAATGGCTCCTCTCCCTGACCTCATCCCAGCCACATCAGCCTCTCTACTGCTGTCCTGTCCCAGAGCTGGCTCTGGCCGGGAGGCTGGGGCACAAGCAGTGCTGCTAGAGAAGGGCTGTTCTTTGTCTCACCAAAGGGGGAGGTTGGAAAGCAGAGAGTTCCAAGAAACGGTACAACTAAAGCCACAGCTCTGTCTCTCTGAGGGCAGCTGAGTGCCTGCCTAGGAAGGCCGCTGCTCAGCACTGCGGGGAGGCCTCACCCTGTGTGCTGTGCCCTGGCGCGTGGTGTAGTCTTGGCAAGCAGGCTCGAGCTCCTGGCCATGACTGCTGGGACCGGCTGGAGGCAGCGGCGCCTCAGGTGCCCGCACGCAGCTGTGCTGCAGGGGGAGAGCAAGTCTCTGCCTGCAGCCTGCCAGCTTTGAGGGCTTGCTCTCTAGAATGTGGGGTGTCACAGGACAGGCGGAGGGCCTCCCAACGTGAGAATCAACTCAGACACCTGCTAGGAGCCTGGGGAGACTCCAGCATCCTTCTAGCCTGGGGCTAGAGGTGCGGTGAGAACGTGACTGCTGCCTTGGGGTGGGGGAAATATGCCTCTGCACCTGGAAGCCAGTATCCCCGCAGTTGGCATAAGAATAGCTCCATTCAGTGCTGCTTGGCACTGCTGCACACCCTGAGCTGGATTACCGCATTCACTTCGCTCAGTAGCCCTTGGAGGAACGTTATTATTTATCACCTCATTTACAGAAGTTAGAGCACTTGCTCAGAAAGGCACCCAGCTAGAACATGGCGAAGCCAGACTGCAGACTAAGCCAGTCCTGGCCCTGTCCTCTTAGCCACTTCACTAGTAGGTTTCTTTTTAAGTTATAACCAAAAAGAAAAGAAAATTACATACATATACATACACACACACACACACACACACTTTGACAACCATTCATAAAAAAAATATAGAGACCAAAAAATACTGGAAAAGAGTACTTCTAAAAAGAAATTTGTGTTTTATTCATCAAAAGCATGTCTACATGTCATGGACAGTAGTCTTGTAGAGGTGAGGAAGGCTATTGTCTAATTGATAAGCCTGTGTGCTTATTTTCTGGCGACAATTCGAAAGCCCAGGTGGGTTTGGAGGATCTGTTCTTAAACTGCAGCTAGCAAGAAGACATACTCCTACACATGTTTAAAATAAGTGATGCTCAGAGACAGTGGTGCCACCGCGGTGCAGAAAAGGGCCCCTGAGGTCGCAGCTTGGCGCCCAGTTCCCGCTGGCTCTCACTCTGTGGCATCTCAGCCTGCCTCCCTTAGAGAACTCCACACTGCTGGTCGCTCTCCCAGAAGAAGGCCGGCCTCAGAGAACAGCAGGCAGCCCGAGAGGTGGCCTCTCACCTGGACAAAGCTACAAGCCGAGAGCATCTTCCCACAGGAGCTGGGCTTCTCCAGCACATGAGGGCATCTGCAGCAGATGGGGCCCTGCATGCCAGACTCAGCTGGCTTTTGCGTCCCATTCGAGGTCCTGTCACTTTTCTCCTTCGTCCTGATTCTGTGCTCTGGAGCAACCGCAGCCAAGTTCAGTCCTGCACTGAGGCTCTTCAGCGAACTCCATGAAGACTATGGTTTCCCTGCCCTTAGTTCTGCCTTTTCCAAGACAAGACACCCTTCCGTCTTTGTGAAATGTATTTCTGGATTCCTCATCAGTACCATCCTAAAGCTGGATAACAACTGGTACTGTACCTTGTTCTAAATAATGACAGAACCACCATTTGCCCAGAGCTGTCTTACACCCTTCCCCCGCGAGAGGAGGACACTCAACAAAGCTAAGCGCAAGCCACAAGTTACAAGCTGAAGGAAAGAGTCTGCGAGGCTGGGGGCTACGCAGGCAGGAGGGAACACGGTTTTCATCCATGCACGGGAGGGCTTCACCTCCCCCAACCTGTCTGGAAAGAAGCAGAATTTGACTGGTGTCATTCTCTGCATTGGAACTGCATGTTGGTGATAAATGGAGAATGGGCGTGTTTAAAGGTTGACCATTTCAGCTTTCAGCTGTAGCAAAACGCACACCAGCTGCCATCAAGCGCGCAGAGCAGAGGGGGAGACACCGAGCTGAGGACAGTAGCTTTCGCACCTGCTCTGGCCACGGGTGCTTGGGAGTTGGGAGTCTAGTCGTAAGGAGCTGAACGTTGGGAGTTTTAAGGTTCGGAGGAGCTCGGGCCCAGAAGACCACGTGCAAGTCCTGGCCTCGCTGCCTGCTGACTGGGAGCCTTAGCAAACAAACTCCTTAGCTGGGATGGATTCACATTTTCTCCGCTGAAGTGGGCGTGGTTAGTAGCCCCCGTGCCACAGGACTGCTTGGAGCAGGAAAGTTCGCCAAAATGTTTGGTGAGGTGAAGGTATCATCAAATTGACAGATATTGTACCAATTTGGAGAGACTTGGGGGAGGAAAAAAATAGATAAGCTATCTTTTAGCTTGCTCTAAAGTTTGGAGCAGGAATATTGAGAAAAGATTTGGAGCTTAGGAATTATTGTGCAAGACCAAAAACCCGCCTCAGATCCCTTTAAGGACCCCAAATGGTTTCCTTCTCCCCGGGGGACTTTACAGGCTGTCAGCTCTTATGTGAAGGCAGCGGCTCTGGGCGGACCCAGCAGGGGCTTCTCGGTCCGGCCTTCCCTCGCCCGAGCTGGCCACCAGCCCTCTCTCCTTCCTGCACTGGTCGACCCTGAGAGCCCTTCTAAGCCCAAAGCAGCGCGTGGGAGACAGCCGGAGGGGGAAGGGCGTGTCCTTGGCGCTTGTGGCCTTCCCAGGCGGCAGACCGGGCCTACATGGGCACAAGGGCGCCCCTGCGACCCGCGACGCCAACCATCCGCGAAGAAGGCAAGCTTTGCCCTCCCGATATCTAATCGCGCGTCGCCCGTCTTGGTTACCTCTCTCTTGTTTCTGAGACAAATATCAAACACCCAAAACTAAGATAGGAAAGGTTTGTTTAGCTCGCACTTCAAGGCGGCAGAAGTCCGCGGAGGCGGCGGAAGCACAGGCGCCGAGAGCCGCCCTCTCTCCCTTGCTGCGCGGTGCCGCCTGCAACGACCCGCCCTCGCCCTCGCCCGCGGCTGCTCCGCGGCTCTTCCACAAGCCGAGGGTGTCTGCAAAGAGAGGAGCCTGGCCCCTGCGGAATCGTGTCGTTCAACTTTTAAACGTCTCAAATTGACAGGATGAACGACATCCCGGAGGGATGGGCGTGCCACTTTCTCCCCGGGATTAGAACAGCGGAGGGGCCTCCTTAGTCCAGCGTCTAGGCTTCAAGTCCACGTGATGTGCCCGCGCTGCCCGCCGCCGCCTTCCTGCCCCAGGCGCTTCCCCGGCTGTCTTCTCAGCTGACCGGACCACCAGCCTAGGAACACACAGCCGTGCCTCCCTCCTCTCAATCTAAGAACCAGGCTAACGGCGTGGACTCGAGCTCCCCGGGGTCAAGTAGTTTAGGCACCTGCAGAAGCTTTCATGAGATGCGGCGCTCCTTCTGCCCTCCGCTCTTAGCTCACCGGCTGCTGTCAGTTGGTTTGGAAAAGCACCGCCAAGAAGAGACGCAGCGGAAACGAGTCCCTTGGCGGAGACCGGGATGAGTAACATCGCTGCCCACCAGATAGCCAGAGGAAGACACCTGCAGAGTAAACAGACCTCCGGGTGGCAGGAAGCCCTCCCTGGCCCGAAACGCAGACTCATTAGTGCCCAGAGCGTGTGCAGCCTGCCCCGCAGAGAAACGCACAGAACCTCCAACGTCAGCCCTGCGGCGTTCTTCCTCGGGCCCAGCTGTTGGTTGACTTCCTACAGCACCCAGTGCTCACGCGGATACTTAGCTTCCGTTGGGTCAAAGCTGGCCACACTCCAGGGAGCCTAGTTCACTCACTCGTCGCCCCTGTATCAGCCTGAGCAGTAGGCAGCGTGCATATTTCCATTTTGCAGATCTGGCCGCTGAGGCTCAGAGAGACAAAGTAGCCTGCTCAGGCTTACACAGTGGGAGGTACAGCTGGACTGGAACCCAGGTCTGAGCTTCAAACACCACACTGTACCTCTCCTCCCCCCAAACTGGAAATGAATCTCATAGCCATTTGTTTGAACTTCCCCATGGGGTGCTGTTGGCACCTAAGATCAGGAGGCAGGACTATAGCCTTGGGAGAGTTTTGCAGGGCTCTGGTACCCCAGCCTCAGACAGCAGGTCCCCCTGGGTAGAGGCCGCCATCCCGCCACAATGCCTTCTAGGGAGGATCCAGTTCAGCTGGATCAAGTGGCCAAGCTCACTGGGACAACCTGGGCCTAATAATAATTACACAAAATCCAAGGATCACGTGCAGCCGTCTTTAGCAGCTTTTCTGGACCCGTGAAGCCTTCACTCATCAGCTGGATTTAATTAGAGTCACTTTCCCTCCTTTTAAAGGAGGAAAATGCGAAGCTGCCACTTTGGTGACAGAATCGGAAAGTTGTGTGCTGACTCCCACCCCCTCCCCCTCTCCCCCTCTTCCCCAAAGCGGTGGTTATGGCTTAAAAAAAAAAAAAAATGGCAAAACAGATTTTGTGTTTAGTAGCTTTTTGTTTGTTCAGATCATAGCCAGCATATTGTTTGAGCGCGATGCCGCGTCGGGTTGTGAACAATAAGACGTGGGCGCCCACCTCACTTCGGCCTCTGCTTTTCTCCTTAGGTGAAGGCCGCTTCCAAGTACGTGGACGTGCCTGTGAGTATCTCAGACTGCTGTTCACGGGGCTGCTGCTGTGTTCGATTTTAGGGTTTCCTTCATTCATCGCGTGTTGTGGCGCTGTCTCCCTTTGTTTGCTGCTCCACTGTACATTCCTAACTTGGATCATCAGAAAGAGACCTTACTATGGGCTGTCCCACAGTAGGAATGTTTTTCCAAAAAAGAGGGCATGGTTTCTTTCATGTGGGAGAAGGGGGCCCCCTGGAAAGCCCCCGGCCCTTGCATTTTCTTGGCTTTCTCTGGTCCCTCTCATTCTGTTTCTCTCTGGCCCACCTCCTCTCCTGTAGACACCTTGGGAGTAGAGTACTGAGCTAGAAATTTGCACAAGGGCACCAGTATTTTTTTAAACAAATAATTTCGGAATTTGTTCATTTAGGGGTCCATGCTGCAATTGTTTTAAGAAAACCTTCCAAAAACTGCTTGTAATTAGTGCAGGGCTCATTAATGAAGAGAGCCCTCAAAGTTGACAGATAAAGCACTCCAAGGTGCCCAAAATTTACATTTAAATTGAGGTTAAGTTCTACACATGAATGCTAAAGTGTGGGATTACCTGTGATAAACCAGGATACATTTATAGACAGACTTTGTCCTGCCTATTAGCAAAACAAAATTGGAGAGATTTAAATATATTCCAATAAAGGGGGGAAGAAAATGATTCTGTTTCTCTATTTCTAACAAAAGAAGTGTGAGTCTATTATAAAATATTAAATTTAGAGAGCTTATCTCAACAGCTGCCGAGGGCCTCGTACTGAACCTGTCTCATTCTGAACGTGGTTAAGTAGCCTCCTTGTTCAAATACTTATTTGTTAAAATTTGTTTTTTTCTAAAAGGATTTATATTAACATTTAAATTCATTTCCCCGGGAAGCTAAGTGTGTAATGGTTTATTGGCTTATTTCTCAAAGGAAGACAAGATGGAAAATTGGAGTGAATTTAGCATTAGCATATATTTTGTTTGTTTAATGCAAGAATGTACAATCAATAATCATGCTTTGAATTTATATAGTACTTCTCATCAAGGGACCTCTGGTTCCTTGTGTAGGTAGAAGAGCAGAGAGCAGGAAAGGCTTACAGCCCTGCAGCAGGGAAGGAAGTTGGGCGATTTACTTTGTCAAGGCTCAGAGTCTCCATCTTTCACATGGCGATAGGGATGCCTAACGCATGGGTCAGCTGTGCAGATTAAATGGCCCTGCACACCACACGTGGCGCTCACCACACTTTTTGGCAGGGAAAGGTGCAATGGTGGTGGGAATGAGGATGGTAGTTTACCACCCAGGATGGAAGCCGGATGCATTTGCAGACCTCAGCAGCTGTCCACTGGCCTTCAGCAAGGACAGAGATTGAGATTCTAAGCTCCCAACACAAAGGTGTGGTGTCTGAGTGTTTTCCATAGGCTTTGAAGCAGAGGGGAAATGTCCACAGCAAGGTATGGATGGGGGCCGGTAGACCCACCCACAACACAAGGAGAAGTTTGATCTGGCCATCACATTAGCAGCAGCCTCTGGTAGGGTGAACTACATGTGAGGGGCCTTGTAAAGGAGTCCCACAGAGTCCAACATCAACAGCTTCCTGTGAGCCAGCATCATGTTTCCTGTAAGCCAGGTTCATAGTCAATATAAAGGTGGAGCCAGAGGGATGTGAGATAATAGGCAAGGGCCTTGACCCGGAGTCATTCACGGATTCCTGCTATGTTAGAAGTCTTGTTGGGCAATGAATAAAGAAAAAAGAAACCAGAATTAAGCAGAATTTCCACCTTGCAGAGAGGCAAATACAATGCAGCTTTTCCCCAGGAGTGGTGCGTTTCCCACCGATGACATGCAGTCTAGGTGTAATTGCTACGTGCTGCACCCAGACCTCAGAAAGCACTCCCGAGGGCCGGGCATTGTTCGAAGCCCTTTAGCCAAAACCGTTCCAAGTATCAGACTTTGCAGATGCAGAATCTGGGGCACAGAGACGTTCTCTTGCTCAGGACCACAAGCTGGTCACTGGCAGAGCTGAGATTTGAGGCTCTGTCTTTCAACACTTCCCTGCTACTGGATGATTTTTAATGCAGAAACACATGTCTTTATTTTGATAGTTGAGTAATTATTTGGTATTCAAAAATACGTGATTAGCACATCAAACTCATTACTGCATCATTATTAATGGCTTCACTCCATGCTGAACTTTCAGTTGATCAATATGTTCTTTTATAGCTAACATTATAATCAATGTTTTAGTAAGTAAAGAACATAGAAAATAATAACACACAATACATACTGGTACTATAGGTACATTGTGTATAGTAAATAATAGTTTACTTCTAAAATTAGCCTTCTGAGGGGGATATTAATTTCATCAGGTTTTACAGCTAGGGAAACTGAAGCACAGAGGTTAAGTAGCACGTTCCAGTTGTCCTGAGTAGGAAGGGAAGATTTAGAGGGTATCAGTTGGATCTCGCTCCATTTCGTACCTGTCATTACTCTCTGGAAACTCGAAGTCAGCTCCTGTGGGCGTTTTTACACCGTGGAAATTGGAAAGCTCTGTAAACCGGGACGTGGTTTTCCACCTCACAGTTGGTCTTGAAGATTGCGTTCACTAACCGCTGACTCTCACCTAACCAGGGGGAGTCTTCCCTAAACCAGAAGGTACAGCAGTAAGACTTGATTATGTTCTTGATTACCTTGCTTCTTTTTACTGAGATTTCCAAACGTTGGCTCCAGAGATTCTGGGTCAGTAGCTGTGGGGTACAGTCTGGAAATCCCCTTTAAAGAAGTCCTTGCATAATTAAGGCTTGCTGGGAATGCTGAAATTTGAGTGCTTTGCCTCTGATTTGGGAGTATCCTAGTAGGAACAAGCTAAGATTAAAATGCCCGAATTTTCCCATGCCACAGAGTGACTTATTCACAAATTATGTCTTCCGCACGCAGTAGTGTTAACTCTACAGAACTCATATTTCTTTAACTGTTTTCTCAAATCTGTGTCATATCCTATCAAGCTGTCAAAGACACATTTAAAAGCCATCATCTAGAAGAAAACCTACTGTGTGGGCAGCAACGTGGTGGGAAGCTAAGGTGGTGGCACTCGTTCAGCCAAGTAGACCAAGCTTAGCTTGTTTGTTAATAGTTTTTATTTTAGACGTTTTGATTCCAATCTACTTAAAATGCAGTGTATATCCTTCCTACTTCTCTGTTTTTTTAAGCAGTGTACTACTGACTGTCGTCTCGTCTTTTCTGGATGGCTCAGGTTCCCTGCTTTCCCAGTAGTGGCAAACTGACCTGTACCCCAAGGGCCTCCTGAGGTACAGGGCAGCTGCCAGACCCCAACCCCAGCAGTGACAGCCTAGGTCTGGGGGTGTGGTCTGGCAGCCTGCTCTCTAGGCCAGGGACAACAGCCAAAGGGGGCGGGGGAGTTCCTTTGTCAGCATATCTACCTGCTGGATGTGGTGGCACACGCCTGTAATCCCAGCATTAGGGAGGCTGAGGCAGGAGGATTTAAGTTTGAGGCCAACCTGACCTACTTAAATGAGTTCAAGGCCAGTCTGAACTATGCAGTGAGAGAGCCTGTCTCAAAAACAATGATTTAAGAAGAAAGCATATCTACCTACAAATTTTCTCTTGTCTATTCCTGACTCATCAAAAGATTGAAATCAAACAGGCTGGAATTCCACGTAAAGCTAGCGTACAAGGAAGATAGCTGGGCTTTTGGGAGGCTCAGGACTGTTATGGGAAAATACACATTTCTCATAGATTTTATCTTGATACAGGCTCCACCGAGACCCCTTTTTCTTCTCAGATCTAAAGTAGATTCTAGTGCTAGGGAGACAGCTCGGCAGCCTAAGCACCTGTCAGGCAAGCCCAAGGACCTGGGTTTGATCCCCACTACCACACACCATGCCAGCTCCTTGCAGTGTGGACCACTTAATCCAAGCGTGGTGACGCACACCTGTAATCCCAGTGCTGGAGAGGCTGAGACAGGAGGATCATTATGAGTCCAAGCTGCATAGTGAGACCCTATACCAGATAAACAGATAAAAAGTTTTTTTAAAAAATTTAAAAAGTAGATTCTAAAGTATTTAAGGTTATGGTGTGGAATAAAATTATGGGAGAAAACAGCATAGTCACTCATGTTTGTATTGCAATTTATGACCTTTAAGACATTTTCATGAATGTTATTTTAGCAGATGATCATTAATAGTCCTTGAAGGTAAGTCGGGGAGCTGTACCAATCCCATTTGACGGATGGAATCACTAAGATCCAGAGAGGTCTGAATGATTTGTACAAGTTCCAATTTGTGGAGCATTAAGAACCCATCCAATGGATTAAAGAATTTTGAAAACGCAATGAAAGGAGGACTGACTTGCCCATGATTGGTTCACCAGCAAGTGATTACTGAGTACTTGCTATGCGCTAGGCATCATTCTGTGAAGAGGGTCCACTGCAGAAAACAGGCCAAAGGCGCTGTGTTCATGGAGCTTAGTTCAGGCAGAAGAAGACAGACAAATATGAAACAAGTGTACAAAACAGTGTCAGCCCTTGGCAAATGCAGGATGATAAGAGCCAAACGGAATTTCTTTTGAAATCCAAGTTTTAAAAACCTAAATGTAATGTCCCCTTGAGGACAGGAAGCCTTAGTGGAAAGAGGGGGACTGGTGACAGCAGCCATCCCAGGTGTCCGCGCAGCATCCTCACTGATGGGCTCGTGGAAGGAAGCTGGCCACGGACTACAGCTCCAGTACAGCTGCTTGGACCCAGGAGACAGCTACCTCAGCCCCAAGTTTCCCCAGGGAAGCAAAGAAAGCAGTAATAAGAAGCTTGCGCATCCCTCGTGAGCGAGTCTTTCCGTATGCAGCCGCCAACGCCAGAGGAGCGAGGTGGCAGTTGAGGCCTGATAGCTAACACTCACGTCTCATTGGAGAATTGCTATTGTTTCGTATCAGAAAACTGCAACAATTATAGGACCATCATGGAGCCCATTCAATCCATTTGCTGAAAATTGCTTGAAAGTGTAACACTTGACTACTGTGGCTTGGGGTTGTCCTCATTGTTTTTCAAATTAATACCTTGTCATTGTTTCAGCAGGTGTTAAGAAATGTTACTAGCATCCCAGGGGCCAAGCATTGGCCCTTTGCTTGATAATTGTTTGCTTTGTATCAGGGAAAAAAAATACAGCCCTACTGTTTCCAAACCTTCCTCATTTTCACCCTGGAAATTACACAGAAGTGTTAACTAACTTCAATTTGCAGTGCCTGACAGTTACGTCTGGTAGAGAAATGATACTTTGTGATCTAAGGTAAATCACAGTAATGAAAACTAATCTTTTTAGTTATTAGCAAACATACATGACTGCAGTGGAAATTTAAGGGGTTTGTGGCAGCTCTCCTCATGACCTACATTACAGGGTTTTAATAGGTTTCTTTGGAGATAACTTTGATTTTGACATCTCAAGCGGTGTACATTCTGAGTTTCTTTCTTTCTAACTTCTTCACAATAAAGCATTTCCTAACTACTGGGGAAACCACCTGCTTACCTTTCTGGAAAATCTAATTTATTTAAAAGTTAAATCCTCCCCTCTCCGCCCGCCTTTCTCTGTCCCTGTCCTTAGACTTTAAGGCTGTACTGAAAAGCAATGGCAAATAGTTGAAAATCTCCACGCAGTGAAGTGGTTAGCAAATATTCACCAAATACACTCAAGTTAAATATGTCTTCAGTACTTCCTCAGTATTTTGTAAAGAAGGAAGGACAGCGACATGGAAAGCAGCAGTCATTTGTACATTCTTGAATGGGGGTTTCACTTCAAAGCAAAGTCAGAAAACATCTCTGGGTGATCCAGTAAGATTGGATGCATTAACCAGAAAAAAAGTAACAGTTAAAAAAACTCTCTAACACCCCACAATTCTAACTCCCTCCTGAGCCCCGATTGAGCTCCACAAAGAGCGGGGGCTCCTCGTGGAATCCCTACCAGTCCAGGCTCCCGAGAGCTGTGCCAGGACCTAGAGGTGCCCAGCCCCAGAAGCAGGGCAGGGTGTTGGGGAGCGGGGGTGGGGTGGGGTCAGATGAATGCGTGCTGTCAGGAAACTGCATCTTCATGTTTTGCTGTCTCTTTGCAGAAACCCGGAATGGATGTGGCCGACGCCTACGTGACGTTCGTCCGCCACTCTCAGGACGTCCTGCGTGATAAGGTCAATGAGGAGATGTATATAGAAAGGTTATTTGATGTAAGTAGATGCCTTCTCCTCCTTGAACACCAAGGAGGAGACCCTCCAAAATGTGACAAAATAAGAGACAGGAGGATAAGTCACATTTTGAGAAAATGAATTGGTCCTGATTCCAAAGAGTCTTTCCCTCCCTCTGCCCAAGGCGCTTACCTGTCATGTCTGTTCCAACCCCACCCCCAGTGTGGCAGTGTCTCAGTCTCTGTCTGTGTGACACGCAGGACAGCACTCGGCCTCTCGGCAAGCAGCGCATTCTGCAGAGCTTGTGAGGCAGCTTTCTCTAATTGGCAGAGACCTACCTTGGTTCTGGTCCTCTTTGCAATCTGGCCCACTTTAAGGAGATGCTCCACTGGGGACTCTGAGGCCAGCTCCCTCTTGGGGGAGGGCGCAGGACCTCCCTGGCACCAGCTCCGGCATGCAGACGTACATCCAGTGTCACATTCTTAGCACCTCACAGATGATTTTGTTGTTACAAGACTAGAAATCTGTAGCCCTGGGTCTTGGTAAACCTTCTGTGGGAGAATTCCTGGGTCAGGGTGGTGTTCTGTACCCACCCACCACCAGGTATTCAAGAAGTAAATGCATCCCCCTGCCAGACCCAGGTCAGACTTCAAGTAACGTGCATTTCCAAGGGTTAACATTTTGCAAGCAATGTTCTTCCCACTGTGACTGTACTGGAGTAAGCCACTGAGGCAAAAAAAAGAGAAAGAACCTGCTTTGGTCTCAAATTGTCTGCCTCTTTTCAGGCCAAAGAGGTGAGGGTGCCCGGGGCAGCTAGAAATTTTGCATCAGGTTTCCACACGGAATCTGTCAGTGTGGACCCAGCCAGAGCGCCTAGAAGCCCATGTCCTTGTCCCCGTGTGGCTCTAACTGCGTAGAGCACTTCTGTCTCGTGAAATGTGAGCTCCTCTTGTCCAGGTTGCTATCTACCCAGTGCTAGCCTGAACATTAATGTTTTGGTCTGCTATGAAATCCTTGTTTCTGTATTTCTTCTGTGATTGTGTTCACCAATTTGCACCGAGTTTTGTGTGTGTATGTGTGTGTGTGTATGTGTTTGTTCCATAGCTAAGTGAGCTCATTGTTGGCACGGCTTTTGGATTCTGCAGCTTCTGACTTTTAGACGCTTTGTCTTCCAGCTCATTTGCTTTCCTAGTGTGTCGAAAAGGTTCCTTTTTCTTTTCTTTTTTTTTTTCCTTCTTTTCCAGCCATCCCCATTCTGTGCTCCACACCCCTCTCTCTCCTTCACCACCTTCTTTTGAGAAAACCCTTGTTACTTTTTAATTCCCACTCATTCTCTCTCGGGTTAAAATGGAACTTATCTCTCATGTCAAATGTTTTATCACATTATATCAAGTGGCATGAATTAGAATCAAATAATCTTCCTGTGTACATCTTCTAGCATGACCCGCACCCACTGAGAATGCCTCCTCATACATGCATAAAGCTCACCGGCGGGCCATCCCCGCTCTGCATGCATGCCTTTATGAAGTCCTGAGCCCACTATGTCCAGGCCAAGATCTCCTACCCAACAGGCATTGAAAACAGAGACAGGCAGACCCCTGGGCCCACAGTCGGGAGTGTGGACACTGCCTATCTCCGCTGAATTCAATTCCAGAGCACAAATTTTCAAGAAGCCTATGGATCGTTCTTTTCAATGCCTAGGTTGCCTTTTTATTCCTTTGATTGGTACCTTCTGATTCCCGGTTTTGTGTGGCCTCTGTGTGTGTGTGTGTGTGTGTGTGTGTGTGTGTGTGTGGCGTGTGCACATGTGTGCGTGTTTCTATATGAGCGTGTGTGTGCAAATAACTTTCATGCTTGCTGAAACTTAAAAACATCTAGTACTGAATTGGACATTTAATTTGCAGTTTAGCCTCTTGCTTCATTGACAAATAATCTACCCTCCCTCTTTTTCTTCTTAACTTGGAAGGGCAAGGGGGATAATTAGGGAGCATTCTTGAAGGCAGCAGGACAAATAAATGGTCATTTCTGGGGTTCTTAATCAAAACATCATTTAAAAAGACAGTGCAGGGTAGGCAAGATAGCTCAGCAGACTAAGCACCTGCCTGAAGTGGGTTTAGTCCTGGGCACCACATGCCACACTGGCCCCACCCCTGAGCATGCTGAACCAGCACCAAGTCTGGGCGTGGAGGTGCATGCCTGTAATCCCAGCGCTGGGGAGGCTGAAAACAGGACGATCACTACGAGTCCAAGCTGCACAGTGAGACCCTGTACCAAATACATAAAAATAAATAAATACAGAGACAGTTCAGCCTCGGCTGGCACAGATGGTGAGGGTGGACTTGCCCACCCGGGAAGAAATGCAGGCACAGAGGAGCCCTCCCAGCTCTGAGGGGAAGCTGACGCTTGAAAGAAATACTACCGAAGTAACACTAAGACTACGTTTAGGCTCATCCGAACTGCACAAGTACAGTATCTCTACCCCCTGGCCAGAGCACCCCCAACAGCTGAGCTTTGTGTTCTGCCGGGTTTGTTTTCCCAGAAGCACCTTCACTGTACCTTCTCACCTCATTTGCAAAGCTTGCCCATTCCAGCCGCTCACTTCCATTCATTATACCCTACACTCAGCACTCAGAGAACCATTTGTCAGGAGCTTATTTAGACAGGAATTTCTAGGCCATTTATTGCCTTTCCAAATAACCCGATCCCCTAATTTATAGAATATATCGGTGCTAAGCAACCTAACTGATGCAGCACGAAAAAAGTTATTGAATCTGTCATGGATTTAAAACATTTGTCATTTTAAAAACCCAGAGCTTCTCTGAACACTTCATTACCATGCAGCCCTCAGTAATTTAATTCAGTACTTACTGTTTTTCTATAATCTAGCAGCAAAACATCAGATTACCAACATGTTTGATTATTTTCAGCTTCTGTTTCCTCAAGCGTGGTGTTGATTTCTTTGCATATCTGCTCCGCAAGGCCTTGGTGCCCAGCAAGCTGAGCAGGAGAGCAGGACCGAGGAGGCAGAGGGGCTGTAAAAGCCACCCCCACATTCCTGCTGCAGCGCATTGCTCTTTCAGCTCTGTTCCTTAATGACCGAGGTCCTGGGGCAAGTTTCTAAACAATTGGCAGAAACCTATTGAGAAAGACTTGTTGACTGGGAAGTTTTCTCTTCCAAATTGTTGCATTTTGATAAATGGCAAAAATGAATAATGGCAAATGAACAATTTGAATGAAGAAACAAGTATACCTCTCGGAGACTGTTTGCCGTCGGGGGTTGCTGGCTCTGACTGTGGTGACATTCTCTCTGGTGGTGTTGGCGCTGGCACCTGTCACTCAGAGGCAGTGTTCTGAGGGTTGCTGCTGTGTCTTTACCTGTGTTTTGCGTCTCGTTTCTACTTACCTGATGAGTCCCAGGAGGTCTCGCTATTTGTTCTCCGTCCTTTTTTGCCCTCCTAAGTGTGCCTGGTGGGAAAGGCTCGGTGGAGTTCGTGTGCAGGGGTCCTCTGAGGGTGTGGGGACGCCAGCCAGTCCCATCCTGCTGTGCTTTCCAGCTAGCCAGGCCCCTGCCCAGGGCTCTCGGAGGTGCTTTTCTGTCTCTTCGTTGTACTTCTGACCGGATCTGGGTGCTCAGGAAAGACGTTCGGCACAGCATTTGGGGCTCTGTGTGGATGCTGTGTGCCTTTATTTTATCATGGAATTTAAGAACAAGTTTTCTAAATTCATCTTCACCAGTTTTTTCAAAAACCAAGCATTCCCTAGGCTTACTGGAGAAGCATATAATGTTGCCTGATCAAATCATTTTTTGGAATGAAAGTTTCCCTATTTATTAATACAGCTAGGTTTTATGGTCTTCTATAAAATACTAACCATAATTTTTGGCCATGTACCTTAAAAAGAATCTAACCAAGCCAAAATGAAGTGCTGATCAGAATAGAATGCCTAGATTATTTCCCGTGCTATTTTAAGTGTACAGCTTTATGCATTTTATGTGCCTTTTTCCTAAAGAAATGAAGTATAATTGCTACCAAATAAGTTTCTAATATTTAAAAACAAAATACTCAGATTTGCATCAAGAGAATATTCCGTTATGTACAATAACCTGAATTTAAATTATGTTAAATATGCTGAATTTTTAAAAGAAAATCAGATTGCTGTAAGACTCAAGTGGAAACTTGGCCTCCTTGATGATTATTGCTGATTTTTAAAGAAAATATAAAACATGGCTATGAAATAATCTCCAGATTCCTGAAGCATCAGCTAAAGAGGGATGCACAAGCTCAAGAAATAACTTGAAGACAGCGACTTAAAGTTGGAGTGTCCATAAATCATGCAGATGGCTTTCCCCCCCACTCTGGTGACTAATTCAACATATTCCCCAAAACAAAAACATGCTTTCTGAAATTAAAGATCAGATCATCAAGAGAAGCACCTAAGAGTCAAGGCCTAAACAAAAATTAATTTATTTTCTTTCCTCCTTGTACTTCTTGAAGACACAGACTGAGAAGAAAATCGGGATTAAAAGAGATGCGCTTAGGGTGACTTCATCTGCTTAAACCTCACGGGCTGCGAGACGAGTGATTAAAAAGCCATCTCGAACTTGGCCGGAGTCCACGTTGGTGGTAATGCCGCGCTCGCGCTGGCTTTCTGCAGGCCCGTGTCATTGTGAACCGGGCCCCGGGAACATTTGACTGGGGATGATACATGGATTATCTAGGTCAATTATACACTTAATCTGCCTTCTGGAGGATTAAGTATTTGCAGATTGACTCTGCCTTTGGCTTCTCCCTGGCAGTTATCAGATCAGGAAAGGGCCCGTCCCAAACTGCCTCCTAAGGGCTTAATCAGGCAGTGAGCGCGGCCGGATTCAGCTGGGGCTGCTGCTCAGAACTCTTTGCCTTCCACAGATTTTAATTTGCTGTCCCACTATCAGATCTTGCCTTGGTTCACTCTCTATGGCAGCGCAACAATCGAGTGTGGTTATTTCTCCTGAAAGAGGTAATTTGAAAAATGAAAGCTCTGCCCATTAAAATACACTTGTT